TTCATAAAAAAAATGCCATCTTGAATAAATTTAATGGTTATGTTGTACTTAATTAACAGATGATCAAAAGTATGTAATTTTTAGAATTGAAAGATTAAAAGTGTAAAAAAAATAATTAAAAGATCAAAAAAATACAGTTGTATAAAGTTGAAGATCATAATTAGCATTTAAGCAAATATAAAAACCCACTAGTCTGCTATGTTAAGAAAAATAAATAAATTAATCTCTTATTCTTACTCCCTCTTCTTACTCCCTCCGTTGAATTTTTTTTATTTAAGATTTGTTCTAAAATAATGATCGTTTTTTCATATTTTAAAAAAAATAAGTATTTTTTTATTTTAATGTTATAATTATTTTTTTATTTTAATTATCCATCCCATCATAATTTAAATTTCATTATTTTTTTTTTTGAGGGGTAATATGGATTAAAAATATAAATTGTCCCCAAATCCTTACTATGGAGATAAAATCAAAAAATGTCTATTATTCAAGGGTAAAGAAATTAGTTAAGGAATGATATGTGCAATACTAAACGAAAATAAATTATGTAGTAATATTTTTTTAAACTAAGTTAAAGTATTACTCCCCTTGTCTAAAATTAGTTGTTTTATTTTTTTTTATTTTTTACACACATCTAATAGAATATAAATAAAAATTGAAAGATTTTTCTCATATATATTTTTTGTTAAATAATTTTATTTAATAAAACAATTTTTATTTATTATTAATTTACAACAATATATAAAAATAATTAACAGTTACTAACAATTCAAGTGACTCATTAATAATTTCTCGCAAAAATAAAAAATTTTATATTTAAATTATATAATATGATACGATGGCAAGTATAAAAAATAATGGAGTATTTTGGTTAATGTATGGTCAAAGTTAACGATGAGATAATTGTAACTGTAAATATTAAGATAGCGGAGATGAACTGAAATTAATTAAAGTTAGAAGAAAGGTGTCACTGACAAATTTATAAATAAAAAAATATGAAGACTAAATTAAAATTTATGATAAAAGTAGGCGACCTTACATGTATCCTACCCAACTT